GAAGTTCAAACACATCCTCCCCCACAGCTAAAGTTCAGACACGTCCTCCCCCCACAGCTAAAGTTCAGACACGTCCTCTCTCCACAGCTGAAATTCAGATACGTCTTCCCCACCACAGCTAAAGTTCAGACACCTTGGAAAATACCAAACGTAGGGAATTATGAGAGATTAAAGCAGTAGGAAAGACATAGTATTATGGTCAATGATGGAAGGACAGAGTCAAACATGCAACACACGTGGCTGATGAGGACCAACCAACGCAAACTATACTCTCCGGCCGAATAATCAAGGCCCGATGTTTTCTAAACTCATCCGGCAAACCTGGTACCCGACCCGATAGTAAAATTCCCTATCCGGTGCATCTCTAGTTAGGTAAGACTAAATGAAATTACTTAAATACTCCCTAACTTATTATCCCCCTCTCCCCTCCCCTAGCTTGGACATACCCCCTACCCCCTACCCCATTACAACCCCTACCCTCTTGGTGATGACAGGCGGGTTAGTGCGTAACGACCGCTCGTTAACCGGTGAAATTGGACACGTCTAGGAGGGCACAACCACCCCCTGAACCTAGTGACGAGCAACACCTATGGGAAGGGGATCGGAAGAGGGAAGGAGGAAAGGGGAGGGAAGGGGGGGGCGGAAGAGGGAAGGACGGAAGGGGAGGTATAAAAATGTATAATATATATCAACATTTCTTCACCAGCGAGGCAACTTCCTTACTGGTTCATATCTCTCTCTCTCTCACGCACACACACACCCCATTCCCGTAGACAAAAAACTAGGTGAGCCCAGCACCTGGCCAGGCTCCCAAGGGTCTAGTACACCCCCACCACAAAGCTCCCCCGCATCACCATCCCCTACCATCCACCTCACCTACACCCCCATCCTCCCCTCACCTACACCCCCATCCTCCCCCCCACATCCCCATCCCCCTCTCGCTCTACAGTACACCCTATTTTGCCCACCCTCACACTCCCATCCAGCCTACCTACTACTGTATTTCCATCCCCAGACCATTACTCACCCCTCCATTCCCATCCCTCCCTCCCTCCCATCACCCCACTCTTCCACCCTCTCTCTCCCTCTATTCTCACCCAACCCCTCCACCACTATATATCTTAAGCAGACCAATCCATCACCCACCCCATTCCTCACTAAAATGTTTGAGACGTGGTAAAAAAATCTATTAAGGTTTACTATTGCCGTAACCCCCTCCCCGGTGACTGATGTACACTGGCGACAAAATTACCCCAACACTTGGCATCTACTTCCAAGTATATGGTTGGTTTATAAATATTTACGCTGTTTTTCATCACATATTAACGTCGAAACCAGCAAATTAAGAATAACGACACGTCTTAATACAATGAAAAATGGGAAAACGTAAAATATCTGAGAAAATAAGTCATAATTTCAATCTCCCTCGTCTTTCGTTAAACGTTGGGGGAATTTTGTCCGCAACTGTACAAGACTTCACACACACACACACAATACACACACACGAAGTAACGATAAAAGTCTCACACGTCCTTGCAGCACGTGTACACTGCCCACACACACCCCCAAATTCCCCACAGAAGTATACACAAGTTTCTCAAACATAGGTAATTAAGGTAGGGGAGGAAGGTTTAGGGAGGAAGGGCTTAGGGGTAGGGGAGGAAGGTTTAGGGTAGGGGAGGAAGGTTTAGGTAGGGGAGGAAGGTTTATAGGGGGGAGTGAAGGTAGGGAGGAAGGGGGGGAGGAAGGTTTAGGGGAAAGGTTAGGGTAAGGAGGAAAGAAAGGAGGAAAGGAAGGTTTAGGGGGGAGGAAGGTTTAGGGTAGGGGAGGAAGGTTTAGGGTAGGGGAGAAGGGGAGGAAAGGGGTAGGGGAGTAAGGAGGAAGGTTAGGGGTAGGGGAGAAGGGGTAGGGAGGAAGGTTTAGGTAGGGAGGAAGGTTTAGGGCAAGGAAGGTTTAGGTGGGGGTAGGTTAGGGAGGAAAGGAAGGTTTAGGGTAAGGAGGAAAGGAAGGTTTAGGGTAAGGAGGAAAGGAAGGCTTTAAAGGGGAAAGGGAAGGTTTAGGGTGGGAAGGAGGAAAGGAAGGTTTAGGGTAAGGAGTGAAAGGAAGGTTTAGGGTAAGCAAGGAGGAAAGGAAGGTTTTAGGGTAAGGAGAAAAAGGTTTAGGTAGGAGGAAGGAAGGTTTAGGGTGAGGAGGAAAAGGAAGGTTTAGGTGAGGAGGAAAGGAAGGTTTAGGTGAGGAGGAAAGGAAGGTTTAGGGGTAAGGAGGAAAGGAAGGTTTAGGGTAAGGAGGAAAGGAAGAAAGGGTTTAGGGTAAGGGGTAAGGGAGGAAAAGGAAGGTTAGGGTAAGGAGGAAAAGGAAAGGTAAGGAGGAAAAAGGTAGGGGAGGAAGGTTTAGGGTAGGGGAGGAAGGTTTAGGGTAGGGGAGGAAGGTTTAGGGTAGGGGAGGAAGGTTTAGGGTAGGGGAGGAAGGTTTAGGGTAGGGGAGGAAGGTTTAGGGTAAGGAGGAAAGGAAGGTTTAGGGTAAGGAGGAAAGGAAGGTTTAGGGTAAGGAGGAAAGGAAGGTTTAGGGTAAGGAGGAAAGGAAGGTTTAGGGTAAGTTAGTGGCTTGCCTTACAACACACAACCTACCCTAAGCTCCCTCTCACCACAATTGGTACTACTGCTGTTGTTTTTAATGCTGTATTGGCATTACTGCTACGTGACCTTAAAGACTGTTATTACGGTCTTGAATAATGTGTCGGCATCACTGTCACCTTAATTAGAGAGACTGTCTTGTGGTAATGGTGTAGATATCGGCAGGGAATACGACAACACTGCAGTGGTCGTTCTCGTGTTGGTGTGAAAACGCTTGGCTTGGGTTCTTAAGACCACCTGGCGTCACCCGCCTCCTCCTACCACCAACATCTGGATAAAGAAAACAAACTCAGCATTCACTCCCAAACGATTACCACCACCTGTACAACAACCTTACCACCACCTGTACAGTAATGACTAGAACCACCTGTACAACAATCTATTACAATTACCTGTACTATACAACAATACAGGTAAACCCTCCCCAGTACCACCAGTTGTACACCACAGGTAAACTCACTCCAGTTTACAAGAGTCAACAAGACAGGTGGGTTGGCGTCTGGGGGGGGGGAAGGGGGGGAGGTCTGGGCCAGCTGGTCACATTCCCAGCTGTGGGTGGAAGTGAATAATTGATGTAGGAACATTTAAGTGAGCCCCTGGGACCCGTTGGGGGCTGGGGAGAGGTGGGGGAGAAGGTGAGGGGAGAGGTGGGGAGAAGAAGGTGAGGGGAGAGGTGAGGGGGGAGGTGGGGAGAAGGAAGGATGGAGGTCAGGAGGTGGGGTAGGAGAGAGAGATATATGGGAAGAGGTGGAAATGAGGAAGAAGTGTAGAATGATAGCTGAGATAAAGGGGAAGAGGAGAGAGAAGAGGAGAGAGGGGGGAAAGAGGAAGGAAGAGAGTAATAAAAAAGGAAAGGAAAGACCGGGAAGAGAAAAGAGGGAGGAGGCAAAAAAAGGGGAGAGGGAAAAATGTGGAAAAAATTAAAGCGTAAAGAGAGGTAAAGAAAGCAAGAAAGGAAAAGAAATAGGGGGAGAGATAGAGAGAGAGAGAGAGAGAGAGAGAGAGAGAGAAAAAGAAGGGACAACAAAACTTACTTCAGAAACATTAACAGCTGTTGCTACCCAAGGGAGAGGGGTAGAGGAAGAGGGGGTTGGATAGAGGGAGTAGACGAGGTGAGAGAGAGTCGAGACGTGATGAGAGACATACAGGCTGGTGATCACAGTAAGAGTTTTAACTATATACACAAACTCACATCAACGTCTTTACTCTATAGGTACTCAAACCGTTAATAAATGATTAGAGTAAGTCTGTCAGGTAGGTATAAGTCAGTCAGTCAGTCAGTCAGTCAGTCTCTCAGTCATGCCTCTCATCATCCTCACTTTTTTCTGTCTGTCTCTTTATCAATGGTAAAGAACAATTTCACATAATCGCGTCACTAACCTAGCCAACAAAAAACATTAGCATATTGACTAACAATTATATACATCCACGTATATACGATAAATCTTTACTTTTAATTAAAACAAGGAAAAAAAAGACGAGCCTTAAATTGAGGTTCAAAGCCCACAGTGTCGAGTAACTTGAGTGTAATAACAGTTAAAGGTGGATCCCACAAGCTAGCCGGCCCATTACAGGCAGTGTAGGTACAACACACTGAATTTTAATTGTGTTTAAGGAAGCAGTGTGGTCGGTACTGCACTAGACCTCTTTCACTCTCTCAACTGTAGTCAGGTAGAGTCCCCTTCACTGATGCGTTTACAGGGGCTCGTCAGGTTTTGTGCAGTGTGGCAGCCCTGTGTTTGTTTACATTCAACAGAAGGAAACTCGCTGTAGTAAACATAATATGAATTAAAGTAAAATCATATTAAAACTTTTATCTCAATGTAATGATTTATAGAATGTGTACATGATGAGCACCTGTAAACGCACTAGTGGAGGGGACTGTACAGTACACATTCACAATTAGGTGGACAGGATGCACACCACGCAGTGAACCTGAGGACGGGAGGCGAGAGCTGTAACCACTCGACCACCTCACCCTAAAATAATAGTAATAAATCAGAGAAAAATAACCAGGAATAGCTACACAAATATTGTAAATACAAAACAAAAAATATTTCCGTAAAAATACTTAAAAATGGTCTGGGTCGTAATTAGTTAGTGCGGCTGTTGGCAAGTGTGTGTCAAGAGTGTAGTGTTGGTAGGAATCTGTCGAAATAGTGTTGGCAAGCGTGTGTCAGGAGTTATGTTGGCAAGCATGTATCAAGAAAGTCATTCATGAGGCAGATGTATCCGGTGTATGACGTCACTATATCGACACTTAATACACTCCCGTCAACGTAAACAACGGCCATAACACCAGGATAACACTGAGCTTTACGAGGGACAACAGTATCATCCAACACAATGGCAGAATTATGCTTTTCGTCAGCTGGAATCCGTCAGGGGAGATAACCGAGTGATGTCAGTGGAAGATGGCCCAGTGATGTCAGTGGAAGATGGCCCAGTGATGCCAGTGGAAGATGGACCAGTGATGTCAGAAGATGGCCCAAAAATGTCAGATGGAAGGGATAATGAAGTTGAGGAAGACCCTGAGACCTTCAGATGGGAATATAAAGGTGATCATGTGAAGAAGTCCCCCAACCTACCCCAGCTTATTTCACCTTATGGTTAATCACCCTAACTTAACCTAGCCCAACCTAAACTAACCTAACCTAAGCCTCGAACATCAGAGACGACACATGAAGCCTCGCATATCAAACACAACACATGGAGCCTTAAATAGGACAGGAAAGGCGTGAAAGTCCTGAACAGAGAGCATCTGGAATACACTGAATAGATTCCTCGACCCAGAAAACACGGAGGTTACGAACTTAAAATTAGAAATATTGAGTAAAACGTATATTTCCAGTGGAGCATTAAGTAGCAATTTTAATTTTTTCCTTGCAAATCAGATTCCGCAAGGTTGATTTTTTTTGGAGGGGGTCTACTGGGTCCCCCCTGAAGCAAATTAAAACTTAAAAAAAATTGTCTCGGTTCGATGCAGATTCTCTTGGATTATTAAAATAGAACAAGGGGAAGATGGTGCCCTGGAGGTGAGGTGAGGTGAGGCGAAGGTGGGGGATGGGGTGGAGACTGGTGGGGAGGGGGGGGAGAGACTGGGTGGAGGGAGGGAATATACACGGAACTACGTCATTATAAGCTGAGAGCACCGACATGTGGGTGGGTGACCTGCCACACCCCCGGGGATCACTCGTCTTTGTTGTTGTGCTGTGAACCCGAGACTTGTACACAGCCCCGCCCCGCCCATATGATAGTCGTTACCGAATCTGAATCCCCAGGAGGCAGTGAGAAACAGGCCCTGAGGGACTACTGAGGGGAGGAGACAATCCTTCACGGCACAAGATGATGTTCTAGCACCCACCATCATCAGTAGAGAGGAGGGGGAGTTGACAGAGGTAGTTGGAGGAAAACGGGATACTAGCTTACAGAATACGACAATTAGTTCCTTTCTGATGCACCACGCAAAAAACCTTTTACCCGACGCACTCTGTAATCCATCCATTCATTATTGATTTTAACACTAGTAAAGGCACAAACACCACAGAGGGTTTAGCCTCTACATCTAACATTTTCTGCTTCTGTAAGAAAATTTTAAGGATCACCTGAAGGAGAGGTTAAGTTAGATTAGAATCATGATGGGTTGTTTAGTCATTAGGTTAAATATTTTTTGGGGAAAGGCTAATCTTCAGATGATCCCTAACTTCAATGTGCAAACCAGATTTCCTATACATGGTTGGTATAATTTTCTTGATGCTGCACACATGTCGTTGTAATTCCTTACTGTAAAAAACTTGATGCTGACTGAAACCAATTGCCCCCGGTCGTGTCTGACATGACCCAACTAATTTCTGGGAGAGGAAGGTTTAAATTTGAGACAAGTTGACACTGTCCTGCCTGACGTTATTGGAACAGGAGCATGCGATTAGACACCCCAGCCTGTTTCGCCTGATGATTAAACGCCCTAACCTAAGCCATCCTAACCTCCACCCCGCAAATAAATTTCGGGTGGTTAATCTTTAGGTGAAATAAGCTGGGGTGTAGATTCATGTGACCCTTAGACTAAATAACCAACAAGCAAAAGGCATCTCTCGACTGCTTGAATGACCCCATGAGAACGAACTGTATAGTGACGTAATCAAGCAAACAATTTTAATTGGTTCTGCTGACGACGTGAATGAGTGAGAGAATTTACATATACTTGATAAGACTTAATTAACCCCGCCACCCATCTGACCTTCACTACTACTGCCTGACTGGTGCTGCTGACCTGTCACTGATACTTGTGATGCTGACGTATGACTGGTGCTGCTGACCTGTCACTGATACTTGTGACTTGTGTTGCTGACGTATGACTGGTGCTGCTGACCTGTGCTGCTGACCTGTCACTGATACTTGTGACTTGTGTTGCTGATGTATGACTGGTGCTGCTGACCTGTGCTGCTGATCTGTCACTGATACTTGTGACTTGTGTTGCTGACGTATGACTGGTGTTGCTGGCCTGTGCTGCTGATCTGTCACTGATACTTGTGACTTGTGTTGCTGACGTGTGACTGGTGCTGCTGACCTGTGCTGCTGATCTGTCACTGATACTTGTGACTTGTGTTGCTGACGTATGACTGGTGTTGCTGACCTGTGCTGCTGATCTGTCACTGATACTTGTGACTTGTGTTTGTATGACTGGCCTGTGTGCTGCTGACTGTACTTGTGACTGTGTGCTGCTGACCTGTGCTGCTGTTGATCTGTCACTGATACTTGTGACTTGTGTTGCTGACGTATGACTGGTGCTGCTGACCTGTGCTGCTGACCTGTCACTGATACTTGTGACTTGTGTTGCTGACGTATGACTGGTGCTGCTGACCTGTGACTGGTGCTCACTCTCGACTTCACTTCTAACAGCTGAAATAAAACAACAATTAGTGAGTCTGTAAGAGGAACTCCTAGTAAAATGTGTTGTCGTCTGATACAAGAAACCACTTTACTCGTGTTAACAATTACCGACTCACGTGAAAAGCAGACACCCCAGCTTATTTCACCTGATGATAAAAGATCCTAAAGCTAACCTTACCTAACCCCCCCCCTTAAGGTTGTTTAATCACCAGGTGAAATAAGCTGGGTGCCTATTCTTCACGTAATCCCAATAACTTGACCCAAGTACGGCCAGCTGTAAAACACATCATGAACAGAAGTCATTTACTGTACAAAAACAGTGAGCTGACAAACGCAGGAGGAAGCATTAAGTCATGGTCTCATTTGGTGAGAGACTGCCCAGCGCCCGGTTGTTGGGCCGAGACGACCCTGGATAGAAACCTCGTTAAGGATCTGCAGCTGCGTCTGGATCTCTACTGGAATTGAACTTTAATATTCCCCCGCCTCATCACATCCCACTTAACAACTCCACACCACTCCTGGCCAATACTCGTGGCTGTTCTTGTCTCCTCCAGATTTACGAGTATATATTTTTCAGGTTGTTTTTGTTATAGCTAAGCCTCAACGGACTCACAGGACTAATGAGTAACTGAATTCTCTCAATAATGAACAAACAAGGACGCACATTATACGTAACGAAAAGACGAAAATATATGTACCGGATATAAATTACTCCTTTGTGTCTTTTTTTCCCCACCTAATGCATGATGGCTTGAGGCGCGCGCACACACACACACACACACTTCCCTTCATTTTTGTCATATACTTAGTGCTGTATCAGATAGATCTGCCAAGACTCCGCCCTTCCACAACAAGGTCCCTTATCTCTCGCTGCACACAGCCAATATCACCCACCAGCAGCGCGTCCTGTCCCCCAAAACATCATTTGACGTTACGCTAGCCACTCATTCACACACACTGATGCTTCCTGGTTGTCCACCCCCCCCCCCTTCCCTCACTTCTAGCAGATCCTTCCACCCATCCTTCTGTCTCCTTGGTCTTCCTCTCTCTCCTTCCTGCCATACGCGTTTGAATTTTACAGTTTTCTAATCTTTCACTCCCCATTCTCCTTATATGACAGTCCACCAGAGGAGACCCCGAATGAATACAGTTATATGAATTTCTTCCACTGGACTACTTACAAAATTCTTACATACATGCAAGTTTACAGGATGTGCCCAAACGTATTCTTCCTATGCAACCGTGTCTACACTTTCCACTGTGGTATGTGTGAAGGTAAGATCTATATCCTCATGACCCCAGATGTTGCCTTAAAATAATGTCTATATATTCAATATTGGCTGCACATCCATATGTAATTCTTTTACCGAGGACCCCCTCCCTCCCTCCAAAACAAAATCAACTTAATGTAACAGTGATACATGCATACTAATGATAAGTCGTATTTCACACTCTAATAAATTACCACCGTGAATTTCAAGGCAGATGAAGCAATAATTACTGCCAGAAATTTGGCACGAGTCATGATCCCAAACTTTCTCTTGATCTCCAACAGAAAACGGAGGCAGCGACGCCCTCAGGCATCAGCTCCTCCTTAATGACTTAAACTTCTTGATGTAATCTCATTTCCCCTAAATCGTATCACTTCTCTATATCTCATTCCTCGAAATTAAAGATACACTAAAAGTTAAGTAACGACCCATGGAATCCATTTATGCCAGTTTATAGGTAATGTTGGAAGGATAAAGTAGTAATAAACTAATATTCTGGATGTGTTTATACCTTTAATTTCCGCTGATGACCGCTAGATGGTGTAGCGGAGGTTGTAAAACAAGTGCAGAGCGCTGACTAGGGTGAACACTTCCCCTAGTCTCCCTCCCATACTCCTCGGTAATCACCAGCCTCCTCCTACCTCTGTGGGGTATGTTTGGGAGATGCTGTGACTATGAGGGCGTAGGTGAGTGTGAGGTTGTGTGCAAGTAAATCATAATAAAATTACCTTTATTTTCTCTCGGCGGCCAGTCTTCCTTATAAACTTAACAACGCCACCTTCAGAAGCGAGATACCTGCTCCAAGAACTAAGGATAGTAACCATCCCAGCCTCGATTCCTGGAGAGATCTCGCCTCGTACGGTCCCTCAGACTAGGGTACTCGACCAGCAAGTGATTAATAGCCAAAGCGACCAGGCAGCCATCGCATACTGGCTGAGTGCTCCTGGGTCACCAGATGGCCATGTGTCAGCCGAAATTGGCATTGCAAAATCTGGCCAGAACTGTTTCCCATCTCCGTGGCATTTGGTAAAATTTTATACCTCCAGGGGCGAATGTCCATTATAATCACCCAGAGCATGTTTGGGCAAGCAGTAGCATCCCAACAACACTGCCAGGTACTACATATGGCACTCGCCTTGGGAAACATATGCCATACACACATACCGGTACAGATTGTGTGAACAGCTGTCAATACTCAACATACTGTAAGGAAACAATCAAACCTTACCACCACAGTATTCTATAAAACAAAATCACTAGACAGTTAAAATCATTTAGGTTGGGTTAGTGGTAAATCTTAAAAGTGTATTAAGCAGGGAAGGAGGCTAAAATTCAGGTGAAATGTAGACAAAAAAGTCACAGAAAAAAGTGTAATAATAAAATCCCACAAATTAAACACCAAAAAAAATGAATAAAATTATAAATAAATAAATGAATTTTCCTTACAAATGTCTGGAAATAAAAACAAAAAAACGAACGATTATAATCTACCAACGAAACTTGAAAAAAAAATTTGTAGCAACGTCAATAAAAAAAGAAAAATACTCCCAACTTTCCTCTTTCATCGTCTCCACCCCCAAAAAATAAAAAAACACACATCTCACAAAACGAGGCAAAATACAAAATAAATATAAAAAAAAAAATATATATATATATATATATATATATATATATATATATATATATATATATATATATATATATATATATATATATATATATATATATATATATATATATACACAAATTTTCTTTTGACTCTTCGTAAGGGTTTGTGCTGAGCGAATATAACAAGCCAAGTGGTCGGGGACCTTCACTCGCTTCTGCTGAATGAGACTTTGAGAGCTGCTGCTGAATACCCCCCTGGAATTTATAGTCGTGCACACCATTAGTCAAATGAGAGTCTTAACGCTTTAAAACCCAACGCTGAAATGTTTTTAAAGATTTTCGGGCGGGCGTGTTTTTCAACGCCTTGGGAGGGTTTTAACAATGAGAATAATACAAGATACCCGAAAAGAGGTTGTTCATTTTGGCTTGTGGAATAATGGTTTTGTGTGTGTGTGTGTGTGTGTGTGTGTGTGTGTGTGTGTGTGGAGGACGACCTTCACTCCTAGTCCTCCTCCATCATCACAGGCTGGTTGCTCAAGTAATTCGTTTACGGATAATCCCTTACCAGAAGACCAGCCTGGAAGTCAGAGCCAGGTCAGGGTCAAGGCTGGCTGATGGTGAAGTCGTGTGAGATGTGATGGTAGGCGCCACGCAACTAGCTGGCTCACATGCAACGGGTGGCGGGAGGGAACTCGAGGCAGTGAACCCTAATAAAGGCGGGCGTCTTCCTCATCCGTCTTGCGTAAATGGCCTAGGAATAATAGATTATGGCCATCAATTAATGGCTGGACTGTGGCAAGTCATGTATCCTGGTGATGAGCGGTCCAGGCCACCACCACCTGCCTGACGACGATAATAACCTGCCTGTAGTGTAGATACAATACAAACTAACCGCAAGGACAAGGTAAATCTATACAACTTTACGTTTCTCAGAATGAGAAAGATGGCGATTATTTTTTTTCAGAGATCCAACCAAACTTGCCTGACCTAACAGAGGTGATTCAAAGTCATCTAGCTAACGTCAGCGTGAATGAAGTTAGGTCAAATCATGTTGTGACGACATTAACTAGGAGACGTCTTAAGTTAGATTGGCTTCATGTCACTGCAGTCAGAGCCAACCCAACAATGTGAGTCACTCAACATCACTTACTTAGATCAGTTCAGGTTAGGTTCACCGAGGCCGGATTATACTGTTTGACGTCATAGCCAGACCTGGTCCTGAAGGTTAATTTGTTTGCAGTCTTTCCCCTGCGGGTCAGGAGGACTACGGCCACACCTCCCCGCCATCAACTTCCTCCACCACCACAATTTACTAGCGTGATGGTGACCAAGAGTCTGCCAGCAGCCACCACACCACCGCTGCCTCTGATAAAACCATTGTACGTTGATATAAATTGTACCCCGTGATAAAAGGCAATATTTCATGGAGGCTGAGAACTTTCTACCACTAAGGAATTTTGTTTTTAAAATTATGTAGCTACGTAAGAAGAAGGATGGAAGTAATGGAGGTGTGAGAACGTTAAGGATCAGCCTCATCATTCACCTCCTCCCTTCCTCACACTTCTCGTCTACGGAACTTCCTCTTATACATAACTTCTTAAATCATACATCTCCGACATTCTTACCCATCGAGCACTAAGCAAAACTAACTTCAATATATACAACTTCAGCATAGACAACCTCAGCATAGACAACCTCAGTTTAGACAACCTCAGTATAGACAACCTCAGCATAGGCAACCTCAGTATAGACAACCTCAGTATAGACAACCTCAGCATAGGCAACCTCAGTATAGACAACCTCAGTAACAAGTACCTGTCTGCAACACCAAGTAGCATCAAGTAAACAGCTATAAGAAATGAACAAACCTCCTGCAACAAAGACCTTTTAACTTTCGCGAATAAACCACATTAATAAAGCAACTGTAGGAACTACTGTAGATAAGGGCATAAATCGTATTACCTTTTCTAGATTTTTCCTCCTCCCAGCTTATTTAACTTAAAAGATTAACCACCCTAACGCAAACCTAACCTAACCTCATCATCCCCCCAACAATGGTGTGAGGGCGGTTAATCTTTAGGTGGAATAAGCTAAGAGAGATAGAGTGAATCCTCAGGTGATGCCCGAACTCCTTTGGTACGACTTTAAACACATACACTAGTTTCCCCTAGTAGGAATCAACTCCACTAGTGTTACGTTTTCTTTTAAGCACTCGTGTTCCGTTTTCCTTTATTCATTAGGAGGATTGAATATTAAGCTGTATTCTTCTTCAACACAGCTAAAGAAGTCACGGTTCTTGGTTTTCTTTCTTACATATTAACAATAAACATTAATTTGTAAATCATTCCACGCAATCCTTAAATTTTAAGTCTTCGATGTTACACCCACACACTCCCACACATCCACACACACTCCCACACATCCACACACATTCCCACACATCCACACACATTCCTACATATCCACACCTACATTTTATATATATCACACAACTACCAACACAAAAACAGTAAAACCATAAAAATTCTAGTCACTCAAAACACACACACACAAAAACGCAACCACTCACCCACCCACCCACCCACATACAAGTGCATGGGGAGGGTGGGGGTTATCGATAACGGATACAGCGTGACCTTGACCTAACGAGTAAACAGGAGAGAGCAAACTGGTACAAGTACACACCTGACCCGAAAAATTATCTCACACACACGCACACATACTGAGTGAGCTTCAAATGACTTCTTGTTTTTCGGCTGAGTAAAGACAAGAGTCGTATGTCTGGTTTTTGATGGAACGCATTTTAAAAGATTCGTGTTGTAGACTTGACAAACATTGCTTCCTTGCTTGTTTGTTGACACATCGCCAACACCAAAGCAGCGAAGCACTGGCAGTTTGAAAGACCATTTTAACGATGTATTGGAGGTTTAAATGACCTTTTTAGCGATGCATTGGAAGGGCGAAAGACCATTATAACGACGTGTTGTAAGTCAAACACCTTAAAGGTGATGCACTAGCAGACCAAAAGACCTTGTTAGTGATGTACCGTAAGTTTGAAAGATCTGAAAATTGCAGTCCAGATGATAAAGGAACTGAAACCACGAACCTTTTTCGTTTAATGATAAAGAACTTTCAATATAATCGTACAATTGAAACACTGAATCACTGTGTATAATCAAAACTATCTCAAGATGATAAAAACAAATGCAATATTCAATGTTTGGTCTCAATATAAACAACTATCATGTTGGTGGAGAAAATTAAATATAGGAGTTTTTTTGCATCACAATAAACTGTCAAGATTATAAAGAATATGTAACCCTGAACTTAATTCATGGAGAAAATTAAACTATCCTCCAGCCACACAGATTCAATGACAAAGTACTGTGTGTGTGTGTGATTTATAAAGTACTCTGGTTTCTAACATACTTTGTGCACTTCTGTCAACACTTTCATATGGGTCAGTGATCTATACCTTTCTTTAGCTCTTTCTATTTTACCAGAATGAGTAGCATCTTGGTAGAATTGCTTGTGCCAAGTTGCACCCTTATCCCCTACAAAACAATGCCATTGTACTCCAACTTCAAAGGCTTTAATGCGAGTATTTGAGATTACGGCAAATAATGTACTAATCAACAAATACAACTGAAGAAAAAACCTCCTATTTTAAACTACAAAAAATGACCATGAGTGAAATCTGCACAATACTCGTGGCTGCTCACTTCTCAGGAGAAAGTCAATCTCTAGCAGTAGCCATCAGTTATACAACTCAGAAGAAACAATAAACCACACACTGTTTTTTACGGGCTACTAGCTGTCTAATAAACTTCTATGGAAAGTTCCTTCGTTGGAAGTTAGAACAAATATTTGTCCAATATTGTTCCTGATATTTCATTTCTGCGAGTTCTGCCGTCAGGACAGGCTGATCAAAGACGTCTCGGGGGGGACTGAATACTCCAAGTTAACCATTGTCAACAGTGAAGATAAGGCAGCTCCCCATAAACGTATAACCTGAGTTTATAATAAGAATCATTTATATTCCTTTGGACTTGGGCTATCTCGGGATATTTGCATAATAAATTTATTTTTAAAATCCTAATTTCCAAAACAGGTTCTTAATCGAAGTAAATAAGTAAGAAAATAAATAAATAAGAATATAAATATGAAGTAAAATATATCATCAGTTCTTGGTTCAGGTAACAAGCCAGCAGTTTCCTCAGTGCCAGACACCATCAGTCATCACGGCCACCTCCACTACCGATCACTGGCTGTCGGAAGTCATGGAACTGCTGATAATCAGCTCATAAAATTTTACGAGATGATATCCCGGCACAAAGGTTGTCAGACGAGCGGCAGGAGGATGAGTTGGGTTGATGTGTGGGGAACCTTGGGGAATTCTCTATCGCTGGATCCTGGTTGTGCCTCCACACACGAGTCAACACCCTAGTCACCATTATGTCCTCTTTAACACGGGACAGAGCGCCGGTTAAGTCTCCACCATGTACTTCCCTCTATAGTTGTGATTATTATGTAAACGCCATCTTTGCAAGTAAAGAAAACTAAAAACTCAACTAATAAAAAAAAGCTACCGTATACACATAATAAAAGAAGCTTAGCACACCATATCAAATTATTCTCTAAGCTTGAAAAACTGTCCAAAAGGGTAGCATGGGTACAGTACTGAGACCCTTGTATACAGTGTTTATATAAAGGCGACCCTCGGTGTGCCTTGTGTCATTTCCAGCTGGCCTGTGACCCTTCTTAGTATTCATTGCTAAGGTGTCAAGTTTTCTACGTTTTCCGGTGATTTCTATGGTTTCTCGGGGGTTCTATGAATACGAATAGGGTCCCTGACATAGGCTCCTGGTTTTTCATTCCCGAGTTACAATGTTTCCTAATAGTTTCTTGAGGTTTCCAGTAGAGTTGAATATGTGTAGCATCGGGTCTTTGTGTACTGTGGTCCTTCCTGTTGTTCACTGCCAGTATGTACGAAGTTCTCAACGTTGTCTGCTTACTCACACTCACCGGGTCGCGACAATGGCCTACAGTATAGAGTCCGTGCCATCTGCATCTACAGTAATTTTCGGAAACTTATGTCCACACAATAACTCGTACGGAAGAAACTACAGTATTCACACGTGGCTGATAAATTCAACATTCTAACCCCTAAAAAAAGCTACGTGTTTTTAAAGTCAATAGATGAAGCTTAGGTTCCGAACGCAGCGGCACCACCAGTATAGTGAACTGCCGCCGGTCAGGTGTATTTGATTTGAATGTTTTATTTTGTTCACTTTGTTTTGGGTGGTTGGGGAGATCCGTACGATAGTTAACACTGTAGTTCTGGAGTTAAATACCTTTAAAAGACTAACCACTATTTCACCTAAAGATTAACTACCCCAAAATTAACCTAACCTAACCACCCAATTAGCTTTAGGGTGTTTAATCAGCAGGTGAAATAAACTGGGTGAGCTAATCATCAGGTGAGCCCCTATTAACATTTCAATTTCCGTTCTGACCAGAGAGCGACATGTGCGCACCGAGGATATACAGTGAGGTGAGGGTGAGGCAGAGTCGCAGGGTAGAAGGCAGTTAAGGAGAGAGAGTTGTACCCTTCACAACTACTGGAATGGCTATTTTAAGTCAACTTTTCTCGGATCACCGTAAGTTTAGCCTCCCCCCACCTTATTACACGTTAATGTTGACTACCCAAATGGTAACTAAACTTAACCAAATCTTGTCTAACCTAACCTTATCTAATCTAATCTAACCTAACTCTATCTAGCCTATTCTAACTTCATCTAACTCAACATAACCCTAACCTAACTTTATCTCGCCAAATCTAACCTAAGCTGAGCTAACCTAACCTGACTCTAACCGAACAAAACCAACACAAACCATAGGGGGATGAGGTCACAGAGAACCCCAGTACAGATCAAAGTGGGATGATCGCCATACAGTACAATATAGGTCCTGGTACAGTACTATATTATGAGAAACAAAGGCTCGCCCCGGGAGGAACTGAGGCCAAGAAGTTGAACAACTCAACTTTTCAAGACAAACACCAACTTTTCGTTTTTGATAAACAGTAGTCCTGCTCTGAACTCTTTTCCTCTGTGTGTTCCTAAAATAATCTAAAATTAATAAATAACTTAGAAATACTGCAGAATAAATATATGTGCAGTAATAGACTAATAATAATGACAATGGTAACTGTATTAATAACTGTAATTATTAACAATACCGTGGTAACATAATTAATAAAATAAGCTATTACGAACAATAGCAATACTAATATGAAAATAATGAAAACAATAATAAATAATATTTATTTCCGAGAACTAGGTGCAAACGGTGTGTGTGTCCATCACAGAATGTTATGGACTCCATGGTCATGCAGGTTGTTCCTGGAACACTACCTGGTGCAGGCGAGGCTGACGCACCAGGAAGGCCAGTGGAGGCAGGGAGGGAGTGAGGTAGACACGGAGAAAGCCGCGTCACCATAGCAACGCGGCCCGCTCCAACCACCCAAACACAGACACAACCAACTACATATGTGGACATACACAACTACATATCTACACACACAAAACCAACTAATTCGTGGACACATACTCTTAGGCGGACATACGCACGACGAAGCTTACTCACGCATGCAGATACGAGGTCACCGCTACTTGTATATTATTTGTCAATCAAGAGACCCATTCCCCAATTATGCAACTGTATATGTTCTGCCTTCCGGCGGTATTCTTTAGCTAAAGTTGAGGACAGTTTGCGAGCTATTCGGTGACTAACACAACTAAAATGCTGTGCCAAGGATCAATGACTGGCCTCTGAGGAAGGCACCGCAAGACCCTGACCACCTTCACGTGGATATCAATAGCCTCCAGGTGAGGTCAGATGCAGGGTTTCATCCAGACCAATGTTGTGTATGACGAGGAGTACTGGCAGGACTAATTAAACTAAAAATAAGAGAAAGGGAAGAAGACCTTCGTGTGACAGCTGACAGCACACACACAGTTGTTAGACCATATGAACAACAAAGTCAACAAGAGGCACCACATGATGGTGATGCAGCCATCATTCACTTACTCAGACGGAAACAAAGTCTAACTGTTGTAAAAGGTCCTGGTCGGACCACACTTACAATATGCAAATGCAATTTGGTGTTCCACAAGAGAAAGGGCATCCGCGTGACTGAAAGTTTTCAGGGGAAAACAACAAAACTGGAACCTGGGCTGAGGAACTTGAGCTATGAAGGCTGCCCGAGGAAGCTGAATATTCCATCAACAGTTTACCAGCAGACTACGTGAGAATATGACCAAGACGTTCAAAACGATGCAAGGAATACATCGAGACTCAATTCACACAACGACATCACCAGAGGTCTCTTTGAAATTGTCCAAGAAGTTTGTTCAGAACAAACGGAGGCATAACTAACCACTTCGTAATGAGTAACTGTGGACATTTGGAACAGCTTACCTGAGCAGATAAGCCGGGGTACATCTCCAAACGTGGTAATCATCGGAAGACTGCTGGGATAAACACTTGGCAGCTCAACATGTTCATAACTACACAGTCTTGGGTGTGTTATAGCGTCTCTGGTCCTTGCAATTCATATATGGTCTAGAAGTGGATGAATACGTGGATATACAGCTCTGATACTTTCCTGCAAAAAAAACATAGTATAAGTACACGATCAGCCTATCACAAGTACACTCAACAACCCTCCTCACACCGGGAGCGGCCATCAGCTAGTATATGGCTGGATGGTGCTCCTGACATGTTAACAAAACTAACTCCGCCAACCAAACCAAACTTCACCAAATTTAACTTAAACTAACATTACTTATGAAAGAATGCTAAGATTTGGCAAGGATGTTCAGTTTAGGTATGGAAAGTCAGGTTAGCTGGGAATGATTGGGGTTCAGCTATTCACAGACCAGATACAAGACGTTCCCTCACCACACCCTCCTCCCCCCACCCACCTTTGATGTTTGACAACTGTGATCTCTTGAAAAGTGTCATCTACATCACAAAGGAAATTTATACGCCAAGTTTTATCCCATTACATCTCGTTTTAGGATTTGGCCCTGGTTGACAACAGCCCTGGACAACACACACGCGAACGGATACTTAACATTATTAAAACTGAATGTACACAGTATTCCCTCACAATTATTATTACCATTATATCCAGTTCCTGTAACTTTGTATATGCATATTTGGAATAATTAGGCTACAATATATTTTATCCTGAATGTTATTAATAATATTACTATTAATATCATTCGCTATTACAGGATTATATCTGTTATTGTTATCATCAGCAATAATGTTACTCCTAGCTTTTTCTATATTTATCTACCTAATTTACCTCATGACCGCCTCTAGTGGGTGGCCGATAGGTAAATAAAGTATACTGTATTGGTAAATTTTGACACTGCTAGGATTAACAATAATGTTAATGATAATAACAATAGTAGATGGTATAAATAACAAATAATGATACTAAAAATAATAATAGTAGTAATAATAAAAATAAAAGTAATAATATCACCATCCAAATTTATTACTATTTATCATTAATCAAAATCATTTACGTGGGTTAATATAAATTACAAATAAATAAAAACTAATGAAAACTGATAAAACTTTAAGTGGAAAGTTAATGCAAACTAAACGAGTGTGGAGACGGAGGGAGAGACGCATGCTAAATATCTAAAGTGTTGTGTTGCAATAGTTATTATGTCAATGTTGCAATGGTTCTATGTTACACGAGTTCTGATATGTTATGTTATTAGTTATGTATTGCAACCGCTATCTTGTGCTATAATATTCCTTGGGAACATTACACTACACAGCACAGCACAACACAACACACAACAATACACACAACACAACACACAAACTCTAAGCACAACTCAAACAATACACACTACATAACACTACACAACACACACACACAACACTACACAACACACACAACAATGTCAACACACTACACAACACACAAATGCACATAATACAACACGCACACACAACAAAACACATAACAATGAACACAACACAACACACAAATACACAGAACACAACACACACACAAAACACATAACAATGAACACTGCACAGCACACATACAATACACAGAACACAACACACACACATAATCGTCTTAGCGGGAACACCAACCATTGTGCGGCTGTAAGTAACCTCTGACCTTAGTGTCTCTCCGAAACTAAAATACTTTCCCTTTAAATGTCCACTTTGTGTGGTCACTAAATAATACATTATTTATATACACTATTGACACACTGCTGACAGACAGACATACAGACAGTCAGAGACAAAAGACATCAACACTTGAATTAAACTGCAAGAAATACCTATGACAGCTCAATTATTATTATTATTACCGTATTTTTATTATTTAATTATTATTAGTAATTTTATCATTATTATTTAATTATTAGTAGTAATTTTATCATTATTATTTTCATCATTATTCTGGGTTTTCAAAATGTCAACAGCAAGGAGTTACAAACAGGACAAAATCAACATAAAACTTAATTTCATACCATGATGGTGACTGAGTGCCATAAGCCTGATGATCCGTGTGTTGGGGGGGGTGGCAGTGCGGGTATACTGTCCACTCTTAGTAACTTAATCCTTCGTTACATAGAAAGGCTGTGTGGATGGCTTTGCACAGTACTCGACTACTTTCACTCCCTCAACTGTAAAGTCGTCAATGTAAAAAATAAGCTGAGGTGGCTAATCTTCAGGTGATCAAACAAAACAAAATTGAAAGATATGTTGAACGGGAGGCCCAGAATCTACAGAGGCAGTTCACTTTTAACACTCAACCAATCCCCAATTCTCACTACAGTACCTTGAAAATGACACCCCCCCCTCTTCCCTCGCACTCCCGTTAGATAATTGCAATCAAACTTCCTGGTGACAAGCGAGAAAGTTTCGAGGTGTGAATATTCATGGTAGGAGCTGCTGCGTCTAATACAAGATTACCGGCGGCTGAGAATGACGACATCTCGGCGGGTATCAGTGTAATCTAACCACCCTCGACTTACACATTCATAAGCATTTGCATATCCGTGATGAGACTGCGGCATGTTGTGGAGGTGGTTCAGGAGGAGGCGGGTTCGCTTTGCTCGCCGTGTTCCACCCCTGATTATCTAATTTCAAGACCAGTGGGCCACATTTCAACACCTTTAGTTATAAAAAATCTAAGTTCAAAATAAATGTTCGATGGGTGACCCAAAAGGCCAAAACACCCGGTGACCACTAGTACTCACCATCCACCTCTCTTGTCAGGTACAGCCTCGTCCTTCACCTCATCCTCTTCCACTCTGTATACACTTGAACCTCAGTCTAGGTGAATCCCAGCCAGGTCTACGATGTCACAGTCTCTTGCAAATTTCTTGATATCATGAAGCAAGACGGTTGGCGATGTACTCTTGCCGGCTTGTTGATGTTGTTGACATAGTTTTCTGTAATTTAACAACTACGGCATTTAAGCACACACAATAAATTAGCTCAAACGCTAGATTGCAGGTTCAGAAATTTAGTTTACGCACCCGTGCTAAATAAATTCACACGCACGATGATAAGTTTAAAAAATTCAGCCGAGGCAAAACTTCACGTGTTCGGTCAGAAAATGGCGGTACTGAATTGGGCATTCCAAGTTGGGCAAGAACGGGCGTCTTCGTAATGAAAATTAAACCAGAATATGGAGCCAATGATTTATATCCAAAGCAAATTATTTACTTTTATGAGTGAGGATTTTTTTTAAACTTGTGTCATAATAGTCAGTTTTTTTTAATGGCTGAAGAGGGATAACGTGAGGTGACGAGCTGCAGATATAAACAGTCAAGCTTGAAGCGCAACACAGCCTTCACTCCTACACTATATTATCTTTTCTGTCATATTCCATTTTTTTACACTTAGGGCAATATATATACGATAAAATAATAAAATAAAACCAAAATAACGTAAATATGCAAATGGGTTTGAGTAAATTAGAAGCCTCCCACTTGGAATAATTAAATTGTGTGTATGCAATGAATTTATGTATATTGAAATATTAAAACGTTATAGTAACTCTCAACTTTTAATATTCGCTAAACTTTTTTTTTATTTGTTCATTTAGTATCTATTTTATTCTTATCATTAGTTCGTGTGAAGGCAAGCTCTCTTTATATCCCTGAACACGATCAACTCCATACAAGATTACTATAAAATTTTGTCTTACATTGTCGAATTTCATTGACAATATAACCATTTCCACCGACACAATAACACAAGCAACCCGAGATACGGGATTACGCCTTTGTTTGTTTATTAAACATATATGTATTAGAGTGTTATTAGAGATACACAGGCCGGCTCCATCACCCCGTAGCCAACCTGAAGAGTCTTTGATTAACGTTGGGGTGGTTAATCTTAAAATGAAATAATCTGGGAGGGGCAAATAATTATCTTCAGATGATGCATTTATTTTTCATAGATTATTTTATGGTATTAGTAACTCATACATCTCTTTCTAAATATCCATGTGGAAATAAAAATTATTCTTAGATAGTGAGCCAGAGTGATTCTTGATGGGAGGGAGACCAGTAAGTGTTTGTTTAATTTTTCACGATCAGCCGAGTGATGCAGGAATATCAACTTGCCAAAAGAGGAAAGTGTGTTCGTCTCGCACCTTACACCATTTAATTAAAACACTGTTACGCCTAAACATGTATACTTGCTCTGATGTTTCTGAGTAAATTAATTTTTTAACCGGAATAAACTAGTGTGTTCAGTAATATAACCGATTTAAGAGCTGTTTTCATAATAATATATCGTATTACAGCTTGGTCACTCAAGAGGTAAAAAATAAAAAAATTTCTAATTGATAAAACAGGTTTCACGCCTATTGGCTATTACCCAATTATACTTTCTCACAAAACAACTTTTTAAAACCGATTGAAAAATAGAAGCTCCCGTAAAAAGTATATGCCTGACCTTAACTATGTGACGGTACACTGGACACAGGCTCAAGCGGCGTCGGAGTGAAGTTTCTAAAATGCTGTTGTGTGCCAAAGCAGCTCATTTACACGTTGGAAAATTATCTTTAACAGTATATAGTTGCCCCAGGCTAGGGTAAAGCCGCTCGACATTCTGGTCTACGCAAATCTTAGCCCACCCTCCACGAAGACTGTTTTTATACATCAATTACATACAGTAAATTAAAAATAAATACCGATACTTTCAAAACAGATTATAAAAAAAAAAAAAAAAAAAAAATATATATATATATATATATATATATATATATATATATATATATATATATATATATATATATATATATATATATATATATATATATATATATATAGTCTATTTAATGACTATTATATACTTACAATAAAATTACGAGAGTAGGTCTGAAAATATCCTTAGGTTGGCGATAAGTGTGACAGCCAACACCACCACACTTGCTCTTAATTAATGTATCGTCGTCTGCCGGCCTCTTGATTCTCACTTACTCTGCAAAATATAAATCAACACAGTTATCTTTGAGTAACTTTGTCTGTCTGTCTGTATGTATGTATATATGTATGCATGTATGTATGTATATATGTATGCATGTATGTATGTATGTATGTATGTATGTATGTATGTATGTATGTATGTATGCATGTATGTATGTATGTATGTATGTATGTATGTATGTATGTATGTATGTATGTATGTATGTATAATAGTGTTTTGATATGAATAGTGTCAATCATTATTGCAGTTCTGGAAATTCATCAAGACCCAACCCTTTCCATCCCCTTAATCCCCCCTTATATCCCTCTCCCTTAGCCCTTAAGTCCTCTTCTCATCCCTCTTACCCGATAACGCCCCCCCCCCTATAACCTCCCTCCCCTCTACCTCTCTGGATTAGCTTCGTTGCCTAATTAAACTTTCTTGCTCGGCTGACTCCGCCCAGATATAGTTCACCTTTCATCATCTTCTTCTCTATTCCCCTTTCCTTCTTTCCTTCCTTCCATTCATTGTCATCCTCCTCTTCCTTCGTATCCGGCTCTTCCCTTTTCTTCTACTTTTTCCTCCCTGCCCCCCCTCTTCCTCCTCCTCTTCCTCTTTCCTCCACCTCCTTCCAATTCATCTCATCTTCCTTTTCTGTCATTCACACACACACACACACACACACACACACACACACACACACACACACACACCTGTATTAGACCCATCCCAGTTAACGATGTCCATTATATCCAGGGATCGTTTAAGAGGGGTTGGGACTCTTAGGTTCAGGGTAACAAACTCATACTTCAAGATCCTGTACGGTTATTAAATGTCTCTTGACCTCTGAAAGTGTATAAGCCATCGTCCATCATCTTAGGGGTTAAACTATATAAAATTCTCAAAGTTACATCTCCAAGTTATTTGATCCTCGTAACTCCTATACTTTAAGTAACTCGAAGTATATAGGAATTATAAATTATAGACTGCGGCATAAGTCGTAAAGGCGTTAATAATAAAAAAACAAAACAAGTATAACGCGGAAAATAAAAGTAATAAAATATTTGTACAATAATGGCGCAGTGCTGTGGTGTCCATTGGCTTGTGGTATATAGAATCTTAATGGTACGTAATATTATAAGACACGGACATAAAATATAGTAAAACCTCTAGTTAACGAACTGTATGGAGAGGAAAATTCGTTATATCGAGGGTCTGTTAGATGTGAAAACTCCATATAACGAACGATAGAGATGCAAGCCCGTTATATCGCTACTGAGACTACTGAGAGGTTACTGAGACTACTGAGAGGCTACTGAGACTACTGAGAGGTTACTGAGAGGCTACTGAGACTACTGAGACTACTGAGAGGCTACTTAGACTACTGAGAGGCTACTGAGACTACCGAGAGGCTACTGAGACTACTGAGACTACTGAGAGGTTACTGAGAGGCTACTGAGACTACTGAGAGATTACTGAGACTACCGAGAGGCTACTGAGACTACTGAGACTACTGAGAGGCTACTTAGACTACTGAGAGGCTACTGAGACTACTGAGAGGCTACTGAGACTACTGAGAGTTTACTGAGACTACTGAGAGACTTAAGCTGTCATGGTCATTGTTTTTAGCCCCTGGAGAATGATGATGTAAGTGTGGGGGATGAGGTTAAAATGGAACCACACCTTATCTACGAGTCACGCCCACACCTCACCCACCAGACACGCCCACACTTCACCCACTAGACACGCCCACACTTCACCCACCAGACACGCCCACACTTCACCCACCAGACACGCCCACACTTCACCCACCAGACACGCCCACTCCTGGCCAGCCTCCACCACTTGGCCGTCCTTAAGACAGCATCAGTGCCCCACGCGTCTGGCTGGCGGCCTTACCGATGACTCACCATGGCGGAGGAGGGAAACCCCAGCTCCTATCGGGGACGAAGCTGGGGGGCGTGCGGGGGTGTAGTGAGCAGAAGGGAAGCCCGGGTGGTGAAGGTGGAGACTGCAGGGGAGAGATGCCTCGGGCCTCTGGGGGGAACAAGACGGGAACAACATCACCAGAGGCACAAATCACCATATCTCGTGAGGGTGAAGACGCCCTGGGGGGATGAACTGTAAACTCCACGGGATTTCTACTGACTACTTCCACTAAGTCTTCCTACTCATAACTATCATGTGTAAGAAAGTAGTTATGTATTTTATCTTCCAGTGTCGTTTAGAAAAGATATCGTTATGGACTTATTATCGTGATCAACCTAAACAAACCTTCATCAGTACATAAAAAAGATACTGACGTCCAGTTAGTGCGCATCACCACATAACAAAACACAACAACTCCCAAAAGACAAACAGTGGCAGGAAAATGTGAGGAAAAAAAGGTTCACCATATAGAAATTGTCGTAACTCAACAGCGTATGATTTATGTAAGTACCGCCGCGGGTTTTGTACTTGATAATCCAGCAGTGTTTAGCGACCAGTGAGTCTTGCCTCGGGCTACTGACTGCACCAAGGAGGGAGCCGCGTTAAGTAACTCTCGTATATATTACTGAACTCACCCTAATCTCACCAACCAAGCTTCATCTTA